CTGAATCCTTTGCTCCATGTCTTAGTCTTTGGAGCAGCAGGAAAGAAGTCATGTCTATCTTAATCCTTTAAAATATTTAAACATGGCAATCATGTTTAACCTTCTCTTCTCCAGGCTAAAAGTATACAGTTCCCTACGCTGCTCCTAATACACCATGATTTCCAAACCTTTGATCACCTTGGTTGGTCGTTTTTGGACACATTTCAGCTTGTTAATATCCTTCTTGAATTGTGGTGCTTGGAATTGGACACAGTAGTCCAGGTGAGGTCTGACTAAAGTGATAATATTACTTCCCTCACTCTTGACACTATACTCCTATTGATACAGCCTAGAATTGTATTGGACTTTTAAGCTGCTGCATCATGCCCTTGACGCATGTTCAGCTAGTGATCTACTAAGACTCCTACATCCCATTCATATGTACTATTTTCAACCCTACTGAGGTCGAGCATGACACCCCCCAGGTCAAATTATTAATAAACTATAGTTGGAGCTGCAGTAGAGGAAGCTGAGGAGCGTGGAAGCCTAGAGCCTTGCTGAGATCAATTATGCAGACCTTCGAAGGTGCCCAGCAGCAGCTACCAGCATTCTGGATACTCTTTCCCCTTTTTATTACAATATAACCCTTCAAAAATGTGCACTGCAGTACGTTACCCTCTTATTTTGATTCTTTGTATCCGTTTTTGCCTCTCTCTTTTCTTCACCTCTTGCAGCCAGCCCTGGTAAACACCTGGCCCCATAACACCCACAGCTGGGCTCCTTTTCTTCTTTTCCTCTTAAGATAACCTCCCTGCCTCCCAACTAACCCCTTTGTCAACTCTCGCCCCTGTGAGTACCCTGGTTCCCACATTTGGGAGATCCCCTGTGAGTGTATATAATGTCATATTTTTTGTTTCATATTAAGTTTTTGGGGACTAAGCCACTGATTGAGAAGCAGGTGACCTTTTGCCAGAACCTCATGATTCTGGAATTCCCTCCAGCATTTTTTCTGGTCATCACCCAAAATAAAGGATACCAGCACCCAAGGTAATTGATTCATTAAAAGTATGTACTCTTTTGTCTCCCAGGGCATCCCTCGCAGATCTTAGTGTTCTAGCTGGCTCATAAAAGGAGATACATTCGGACAGGTAAGCTGAATCAGAACACTTTAGGGATTCATAGGGCAAAGCCAGCACTTTGAATTCTATTTGGTAGTGGATTGGCAGCCAGTGCACATAACAAAGGAGTTGTATGTTCCCTGTACGCTGCTCCAGGAAGCAACCTGGCTGCCTCCTGTAGGACTACTTGAAGCTTCCAAACAGTCTTCAGAAGCAAACCCATGTAGAACGCGTTGCAGTAGTCTATTAGAGATGTATCGAGAGTGTGGACTACCGTGGCCAAGTGTTGAAATTCCTTTTGTTAGTTTTGGTCCAGCTCCCCAAGCTGCCCAGCCTGTAAAGCCTCCATACAAGGGTTGGTTGGGTGGTGGGATGAACAAGCATTAAAAATGATCATGTGGTGGAGGTTCCTTCTTTGGAAGTTTTTAAACAAAGGCTGGATGGCCATCTGTTGGGCATGCTTTGAATGCAATGTTCCTGCTTCTTGGCAGGGGATTGGATTGGATGGCTCATGAGCAGGCCTGTAGGGGGGGGGGGGGGGGGGGGTTAGGGGTTCAACCCCCCCCCCCCCGAAATTTTTCAGGTTAAAAAAAAAACTGGTTTACTCATGAATTTTAACTGGTTAACCAAATCCCCATGCTACGTCTATGAGATTGCAGAAAAGCCATCAAATGCACTGGAAGCATATCTTATCTTGTCTGTGATGGACAGTTTTTTCCGAATGTGAAGAAACTTCTTCAGATTTCTGCAACATTGCCAGTGTCAACAGCTACAAATGAAAGGTCATTTTCAACCCTTAAACGTTTGAAAACATACACAAGAAGCACAATGAGGCAAGAAAGACTGACTGGACTTGCACTCTTGAGTGTCCACTGAAGTTTATCAATAGAGCCTGATTTCTATCAAAGTGTATTGACACAGTTTTCAAGTGTTTCTAACAAACGTGGTATTCTTTTGTAACTATAAATTATCAATTAGCAATCATTTTCAGTTATTTTAAGACTTGAAGTCTATATTGAATGCAATATTCCTGCTTCTTGGCAGGGGGTTGGACTGGATGGCCCATGAGGTCTCTTCCAACTCTTTGATTCTATGATTCTAAATAAAATATTCTTGAGACCATATAATTTAAAGTATTTTAGGTTATCGCCCAATGAAACATGCCTGTTACCCTTTGTAGTCTTTTACCTAGGTCATTGCTATCTTAAATGCTGGTTATAAGTTTCAATCCTTGTTTTATCAGTTTTATCTGCTGTTAATTCCACCCACATCGTGTGTTTTAATCAGTTTTGGCTATTTTTGGCCTTACTAACCTTGCATACCTTGTATCTTCTACCTTTTACGGAGCAATAAGGATCTTTGGACTGTATTAAAAATGTTGTTGTTGTGTTATCGAACTACTCTTCATGATTTGCTAAAAAAAAGTTTCAACCCTCCCTGATTTTTTTTTCTGGCTACGGCCCTACCCATGAGGTCTCTTCCAACTCTGTTTGTTGTTCATTAGGTTCAGTCGTCTCCGACTCTTTGTGACCTCATGGACCAGCCCACGCCAGAGCTCCCTGTCGGCCGTCACCACCCCCAGCTCCTTTAAGGTCAGTCCAGTCACTTCAAGGATGACATCCATCCATCTTATTTATTTATTTATTTATTTATTTGCTTTATTTCTATACCGCATTTTTCAGCCCTTAACAGGCGACTCAATGCGGTTTACATGGTACAATTATCAAACAGTGTCAGTGCAATTAAAACATAACAACGCAACAAACAGGATCAACAGCATCAATCCACAACAGTTAACAATCAACAAGACAGATCAACAAAACAGACATAACATAACGCCTCAGTTGAAATCAGATCCGTTCTCATAGTCCTTGTGCCATTCCTATGTTCCATTTACCGTCTTCCTATGATTGGTTGCACTGCTTAACCAAACGCTTGTTCATAAAGCCAGGTCTTAACCATTCTCCGAAATGTCAGCAGCGAAGGTGCCTGTCTGATGTCTGCCGGTAGGGCATTCCATAGCCGAGGGGCCACCATCGTCTGATGCCTTCCACTTTCCCCAGCATCATTGTCTTCTCTAGGCTTTGCTGTCTCCTCATGTTGTGGCCAAAGTACTTCAACTTTGTCTCTAGTATCTTTCCCTCCAGTGAGCAGTCGGGCTTTATTTCCTGGAGGATGGACTGGTTGGATCTTCTCGCAGTCCAAGGCACTCTCAGAACTTTCCTCCAACACCACAGCTCAAAAGCATCGATCTTCCTTCGCCTCAGCCTTCCCTAAGGTCCAGCTCTCACATCCGTAGGTTACTACAGGGAATACCATGGCTTTGACTAGGCGGATCTTTGTTGCCAGTGTGATGTTCTACTCTTTACTATTTTATCGAGATTGGACATTGCTCTCCTCCCAAGAAGTAAGCGTCTTCTGATTTCCTGGCCACAGTCTGCGTCTGCAGTAATCTTTGCACCTAGAAATACAAAGTCTGTCATGGCCTCCACATTTTCTCCCTCTATTTTCAAGTTGTCATTCTTGTTGCCATAATCTTGGGTTTTTTTATGTTTATGTGGAGCATAATACAAGAAGGAGGGAGAACAGGAAATGTTGCAGCAACCTTAAATCTAACTTGATTTTATTTTAGCACGATCTTTTGTGAATACAAACCTATTCCTTCCGCTGTACTCAGGGCCGTAGCCAGAAAAAAATTTCGGGAGGGGTTGAAATTTTCGGGGGAGGGGAGTTGAAAATTTTGCGGGGGTGTGTGTGTTGAAACCTGCCTTCTAGCTCACGCTGAAGCAAAGAGCACAACAGGGGCAGAGCAGCCTTCAATAGCCTGCAGCTCCGCCCCTGTCAACCACCTCCACCAAGTCTGGCCTCCTTAATGAGAGCATTCAACACACACACAACCAACTTGGTCGCTTCACTACATCGGCTATTCCTGCAAGTAATGACAGTGTGAATAAATTGTCAATATTTAAGGCCTTGCATGGTCTGGGGCTGATGTACCTGAGGGACCGCCTCACCCCCTACCAACCCCAGAGATCCGTCCGTTCTGAGGAGCATGATCTATTGGAAATTCCCAGTGTCAAGACCTTGTGTCTAACAGCAACCAGACGCAGAGCCTTTACAGCAGTGGCACCATCACTCTGGAATACTCTGCCACCTGAAGTCCGTGCCTTGCGGGACTTACCAGCTTTCCGCAGGGCATGTAAGACACATCTGTTTCGACGGGACTTTGATCTCTGATATTGCTGTTTTTAAATTGTTTTAAATTGTTTTTAAATTGTGTTTGATTTTAGCCTGTTCTTGTAAGCCGCTCCGAGCCCCAGGGGAGTGGTGGCATATAAGTTCGAATAATAAATAAATATTGGCTTGAGATAGTGCTTGCAGTTCTGGAGGGACTCTTAATTTTTTTGCATCTCATAGACTTAGCATGGGGATTTGGTTAACCAGTTAAAATTCATGAGTAAACTGAAACATTTCGGGGGGGGGGGGGTTGAACCCCTAACCCCCCCCCCCCTACAGGCCTGGCTGTACTACAGAATAATATGGAAGCCAGGTTCTCTATGTATAAGGGACGCTGTTGTACTCTTCGTCTAAACCAGGCATGGGCCAACTTGGGCCCTCTCTCCGGGTGTTTTGGACTTCATCTGCCACCATTCCTAACAGCCACAAGCCCTTTCCTTTTGCTCCATATCAATGAAAGGAGTGCCATGCTGCATCCCTGCTGTAGCGTAGCCCTAAGCCAGGCCAAGAGGCCCTCTCCCAAGCGCAACCCGAAAGCCAGCAAAACGCACATGCCCAGCTCCGTGCCTTTTACCTTCTTAGGAGGACCACCTCGCCCGGCTCTTCTCTCCCTCTCCCGCTTCCGCGTCCTCCTGGTTGGCGGGCTCTGGGAGATGAAGCCCCGCCCCCGGAAGTGGAGCCCAGCACTTCCGGCCCGTTGTCAGCGACGCCGGCCGGTCTCCGTGGCGCCCAAGTGAGAAGGGAGCGGGCGCGGCCTAGTGGGTAAGTGCCAGCCGAGGGAAGAGGAACAGGGGACGCCAAGGGGAGACGGCTTCCACCGCCATGGCTCCAGGCTGTACAGTCACGGGAGTTGTAGTTTGACAAGGTCTCCCGCCTTCTCTGCCCCAAAGTCTTGCCGCCTCACACAACTACAACTCCCAGGAACCCCTGGCCTCGAGTGGGTGTTGATTCTCCAGCGCTGGAGCTTCTCTACGGGGACGACGCTTATTATTATTATTATTATTATTACCATTATTATTGTTTTACTGACACAAAAATAACAGTATGTCACAGCAAACGAGATCTATATGCTGGATTTCGTGTCACAAAATCACAAGTCGAATACTTCCCAAGCGTCTAGGACTGTGTGATYTAGTATTATTATTATTATTATTATTATTATTATGAGAAACACAATAAGATGAGTSCACAGCAGACAAGATCACTCTGCTGGCTGTTGTATTGGATCACACCTCAGACACTTCCCRAGTGTCTAGGACTGTGTAATGTATTATTATTATTATTATGAGAAACACAATAAGATGAGTCCACAGCAAACAAGATCACTCTGCTGGCTGTTGTATTGGATCACACGTCAGACACTTCCCAAGTGTCTAGGACTGTGTAATGTATTATTRTTATTRTTGTTGTTGTTRTTRTTATTATTATTATTATTATGAGAAACACAATAAGATGAGTCCACAGCAAACAAGATCACTCTGCTGGCTGTTGTATTGGATCACACCTCAGACACTTCCCGAGTGTCTAGGACTGTGTAATGTATTATTATTATTGTTGTTATTATTATTATTATTATTATTATTATTAGAAACASAATAAGATGACTCCACAGCAAACAAGATCACTTTGCTGGCTGCTGTATTAGATCACACCTCAGACACTTCCCAAGTGTCTATGACTGTGTAATGTATTATTATTATTATTATTATTATTATTATTATTATTATTATTATTATTATTAKWAWYASAAWMASAATGAGTCCACAGCAAACAAGATCACTCTGCTGGCTTTTGTATTGGATCACACCTCAGACACTTCCCGAGTGTCTAGGACTGTGTAATGTATTATTGTTGTTGTTGTTGCTGTTATTATTAGAAACACAATAAGATGAGTCCACAGCAAACATGATCACTCTGTTGGCTGTTGTATTGGATCACATGTCGGACACCTCCCAAGTGTCTCGGACTGTGTGATGTATTATTATTATTATTATTATTATTATTATGCCATCATCATCATCATCATCATCATCATCATTATTATTAGAAACACAATAAGATGAGTCCACATATCGTGCCAGCTTTTCCAGTTGTTTCTCTTCAATCCTGCTGTCGCCTGGGATTGCGACATCAACGATTCATACTTTGTTTTTTAACAGGATTTTGAGGTCAGGAGTAGTGTGCTCCAAAACTCTGTCTGAATTTGAAAGTCCCAGAGGAGTTTGATGTGTTCATTCTCTGTAACTTTTTCTGGCTTGTGATCCCACCAGTTTTTTGTCGCAGGCAGATGGTGTTTGTGGCACAGGTTGCAATGAATCATCTGAGCCACGGTGTTGTGCCTCTGCTTGTAGTCGGTCTGCACGATCTTCTTGCAGCAGCTGAGGATGTGATCTATTGTTTTATCTGCTTCCTTGCAGAGTCTACATTTGGGATCTGTCATAGACTTTTCAATCCTGGCTTTGATGGCATTTGTTCTAATGGTCGTTATTATTATTATTATTATTATTATTATTATTATTATTATTATTCTGTTGTGAAACATTTACACCAAGCATGGGCAAACTTTCACCCTCTAGATGTTTTGGATTTCAGCTCACACAATTTCTCAATCTGCCCATTCCTGCTTGAGAATGAATGCTGTTTGACACCACTGGGTCAATACAATGGGAGTTGTAGTTTGGTGAGGCATGATGTGGCAGAGAAAGCTCAAGACTTTATTTATTTATTTACTACATTTTTATCCCTGCTCTATCTCAACCCCAGAGGAGACTCAGAACCCTTCCACACAGCCATATAACCTAGAATATCTGCTTTGAACTGAGTTATCTGAGTCCACACTGTCCTATATTCCAGTTCAAAGCAGATAATGTTGAGTTTTATTCAGTTCTGTGGAAGGGACTTCAGAGCAGCTTCCAAATTGGCAATATTCAGTGCCGCATTACAACATAAAACATACAAATACATTGTGCATTAAAATAATAAAAAAATCATAAAACAATGCATATAAATACATTAAATAATCTGGAATGACCTGGTCTACAAGTTTGGATCATGTGATTTTAATGTTTTTATTAGGTGTTTTCAATTTTTATACTTTGTGCTTGAATGTCCTATTATCTTACGGCGAATTTGTTCTATTGCATTTTATGCTTAGTCATATGCTGTTCGATTTATGATTTGGTTTATGTATGTAAGGCATTGAATTTTGCCATTATTTTTTGTAAACTGCTTTGAGTCCCCCCAGGGGTGAGAAAAGTGTTATATAAATACTGTAAATCTATATAAATAAAAATGTAATGTCCGTTTGTGGGATTAACATAACTCAAAAACCATTGGACAGATTGACACCAAATGTGGATACAACACACCTATCAGGCCAACAAGTGACCATCACTCATAAAAAGGCCTTTAAAGTTTCCTCCACCTAAATAGGATTTCACTTTTTTTAATAATCAGAACTATATGTCGGGGGCGGGGGGGGGGGGAATCAGGAATTTAGATGCTTAGGTGGGACAGGGGCAAAACAAGGTTGGGAGCCACTGCCCTAATAGGTAACATAAGGGGAACTAATGCAATAAGATATAACAGGACAAAACAATGTATATTGTTTTAAAGGTTTCTTTCTGTACTATGTGATTGTTTACAATGTTTATATGTTGAGAGTGGTTGATTTTGTATTGTATTTTAAAATGTTGGAAACAACGTTGGGTCTTCATTGTGGTAGAAAAGCAACATATAAATAATGGTTATTATTATCATTATTATAACTGGCGTACTTTTTCAAATTTCCTGGGCATTCACTGCTACTCTCTTTGGAAGTCAGCTGAAGTTATTGTGGCCAGTCAGTTGTTGCATTGTGTATTTTCAATTCCTGAGTAAATCCCATTGAGTTTAAAGGAGATTATGTCTAAGTATAGACTTGTGCTGAGAGCCATAAAGGGGACACAAAGCTGTGACTTCTCAGTGGTACTGCTCTACTAGTATCAAAAGTGCTAATTATAGATCTTGTACAAGTCAAGTATCCCTTATCAGAAATGCTTGGATATTTTGGATCCCCTCATTGGAATACTTATACTTCCATATTTTAACATAATATTAAGTTGTTTTGTAGATAGGATCTAAGTCTAAAACACAAAATTAATGTGTGCTTCATGCACACATCGTGTAAGGTACAGTCATCTCTCTGTATCCACAGATTCAGTCATCCATGACTTGAAAGCAGCCCCCCCCCTTTTTTTTTGTTTTTGTAAAGCAAACCTTGATTTTACCATATTATATACAGGAAAGCATTTCATTACATGAATGTATTTAATGGGACTTGAGCATACATGGGTTTGGGGGGTGGGGGCAAGGTGCATATCCACTCCAGTGGATATGAAGGACCCACTGCAATTTTATACTACATTTTTAGTAATACTGTGCATGAAATGAGGTGTGTTTATGTTGAATAATCAGAAAGCAAATGTGTCACTATGTCAGCTATCCATGTGGAGAATTTTGAATATTGGACTCAATTAATTGACACCTATGAAGATTGGTAGCACTGAATAAATATGGTTTCTGGTTGCTTGAGAGTTACTATTAAAATAGGCCTAATACTATATACAATATTATACGACACTATAAACTCTGTGTTGACATGATATTAATATTGAAATACAGTAATTAGAAACAAGGTAAGACAAAGGCAAACTTATTTTAGGGTAACACAGTTTTACTTAATTATAAAAACAGCTTTGTGAATGCAGTATGCAATTTTAATTAAATGGCAGTCAAACTTTTGCTATTTGGGAGTTCTAGTTGCTTCTGTTAATTAACAGAGAGTCTACTGAGTTTGGGATTCCAGATTGGGAATGCTCAACTGTTTAACACTTTAGCCAGGCGACTGCTTCTTGGACTGCTCACAGGGATCCTTTTAGAAGAATCTAATGCTCCAATTGATGATGGTCTTGCTACTATATTTACTGCACTTATTATTGGCTTGGTTTGACAGAACAGTTCTGACTTGTGATTGTGGATGTGATGCAGTAGAAAAAACATGATTGTGCACACATGATGATACATGTTCTATATTTTGGGGATGGAAAGTAGCACTGCAGTTCTTAGGGTTGGAGCCAAATTTGAAGTACTTTGGCCACATCATAAGAAGACAGGAGAAGACAATGATGCTGGGGAAAATGGAAGGAAAAAGAAAGAGGGGCCGGCCAATGGCAAAATGGATGGTTGGTATCCTTGAAGTGGCTTGACTGTGAAGGAGCTGAGGATGGTGATGGCCAACAGGGAGCTCTGGTGTGGACTGGTCCATGAGGTCACGAAGAGTCGGAAGTGACTGAATGGATAAACAAGAAGTGCTTACATGGTGATAAATATCAAAGATGACACCCAACAGTTTGTGGAAGAATTTTTGGAGGCCGTGGAGCAAATGCTCTTTGCCTATTCAAACACAGTAAATCATCAATCAACATAACTTGATAAATAAAATTATGAACATAACAATTCACTGATTTCATTTAAAAAATAAACTTTCTATGATCTATGTATAATGTCTTTTTGTAAAAATAGTTAAACTTTCATCCTATGATAAAGTTCATTTTAGTTCTTCAGAGTCATACTTCATTGCAGAATTCATACAGAACTAGACCTATAGAATAGGAAAGTTAATTTCAGGAGTTCTAAACAAATTCCGAAAGTTTTAGACTGTGGCCATATACAGTGGCCTCTCCACACCTATTGAATTTTGCATTTGGTATGTGTATGAAGGA